GTTCATAAGTCATAACCAGTAAGGCAGTAACCACTGATCATGATACAAGACCAGCAAAACAAGTATATGTCTCTGAACTGTTTCAGAAAGCAGCGGTTGAGTCCTCAGGGCGTCTAAAAACTTTGAGCATCTTCAAGCATCGCACCTCCAAATCACCAGAGAGCTTAATCTTCGAACACTTGCGTAAATCAAGGTGTTCCAGGTGAGGACACTTGTCAAGAATGGCTTTTAAGCCGGTATCAGTTAGTTTATTCCAAATAAGCTGGAGGTGACGTAGTTGAGGCATGCTTTCAGCAATTGCTAATGCATCATCATCACCATCACGCTCATACGGCTATCTTGTGTAACTTGAGTAGGTTAGCTTCAATGTCTTCATCCCTGGACAAGAATTGCCTATAGCTTTAAAATCCAGGTCTATGCATGTGCGTGAGACCTCGAGTTTAAGTTCTTCAAGCAATGGAAGTTTTGCAACTGCTGTGACAAATCCCTCGTCTGTCAACAAAGAGCTTATTACAAGGCTAAGGCTTCTGAGTTTACTTGACCTGGAAATTAATTGCTTGTGATAGTTAAAAACATAATCTAAGATATACATAGAAGAAGAACAAAAGGTTTTACAAAGGCTCTTCTCCTAGCATCCCAATAACCTCTGAAGCCAACCATTTGAAGCGAATCAAGACTCATACAATATGACCACAAAGAACCAAACAAACACGTAAGACTTGATCATGAGTTACTCACAAAACATATATATACCGAGATAACACAGATTTAACCACTCAAACTCGCAAGGCATACAATCCCAAGGTATAGTATAATTAATGAATATCCAAAATGCATTTATCATAGTTCCCCACTTGATAGAAACAATTTTAAGCTATGATAATTTTTCCTAATCCTCAGTTCCTCACTATGGAAAAGAAAATTCATGGCATTTCATATCACTCAAAACTACTGATATAAAACCCCTAGAAATCTTCTTCTTTTTTTTGTGTGTAAATGTTAATAAACCCTAGAAATCTTAAGAAAAAAAACCCTAGAAATAGCATTTGCTTAACAACAATTGAAATTCAAGTAAAGGTAATCATGAATTAAGATATTTCATCAATTTTTTATTTTTTTTTGCGAGTTATGGGGATTGATAGGACCTGTCGGCGATGTAGGTGAGGAGAGAATCGGTGACGAAGTTCGTTAACATGATTTCGACCAAGCCGCCTTCGCTGCGATCAACGGCGTGCCGGCAAATGGCCTCGATGTCATAATCCATCCAATTAGGGTTTCTCAGGTCGATTTTCCGCCACAACGATGGTTCCTTAGAGACGCGCCTCCACGACGTGCACACTTTCTGAGCGTTTTCAAGTATCTCAATCTTGTCAAGACGGAGCATGATGGAAAACGTTAACTCCGGCGGAAGCTCCGACCAGTTGCTCATCTCTTCGACTTTCTTCCGCGGAGGAGGCACGACGGAAGTAGACGACGGCCAAAAGAATGAAGCCATTTTTTTTTCTGAGGATCCGAAAACGTCAGTCAAATCAGTGAAATAATAAGAATTGAAGTTAGTTCTAGGCCTGTCGTCTTCTATCTTTAATTTACACCTAGGTAGTTGACTAGGTAGTTGGCAAGACATTAATTTTTCTTTCAAAAAGAAATTAATTGTAATTTTTAATAACACTAATTATCATTTACATATATGAAAAAAGACATAAATAATTCTTATTTTTTAAAATTTATAGTATATATGTAGAAAATTAATATGCATAGGATAATATTTTGCATATTTCCTTAAGAAAATAAAAGTTTTACATTTTGTGAATTTGTATTTGTCTTGAAATATAACACAAATAATGGATAGTAGTATGTCAAATTTCGTAATTAATGAAATGATGTTATAACGCTTTTAAGAAAATTAGATACGGAGAGAAATAGATGGGATATAGTATACAACTACAATATGTCAAAGAAAAACATGAAACCAGATAAATGATTATTTCTTCTTCTTTGTAGGTGACTAAATTATTTGTAGACTCTATTCCTAGGTGATTCAATTATTTGTAAAATCCCTTAATAGCAGCAACTATCTTTTTTTAATGGTTTTGACATTTTTATACAGTAAACGTTATTAATTGTCGTAAAAAATTCCAACACTAGTTGTTTGATAGCTCTCAACAATTCCAAGGCCGTCTCAGATTACTTGATCTGTAAACAGTTGTTGCATGTAGAGTTAGAACATAATCTACGACTTATAAGAACAACAATAAGATGCAAAAAGAATATCATTTAGAATCCTTCCTCGTACTTATCAACATTAACAAACGAGTGACATTATTGAACACTGGAGGAATATATTGCATCTAATTATCCAACACCAAAACCACCGGTTATACAAATTTAACCTCTCAATTTTGCAAGGCAGACAATCCAAAGTAATAGTAATTGAATGTTCAAAAGTGCATTCATCTCAGTTCCAATTGAAGGTAAGAGACAAAATAATGCAACAAGTCACTGCCATAAATCTGGAAACAAAATTGAAAAAGTTAACAATTTGATGTTAATTTTTTCTTTCAACAAAACGGATTACGATCATAGTAGACGACATCGCGGTAATCGTCTTCTTAATCAACAATTCCATCGAAGTTAATTGGGTAACCAGCGGCTGAGTCATAGGTGAGTCTCACATCTTTGATGCTCTTAAAACACCGCTTCTCTAGATCCCCGACAAGGTCAATGTTGAAACATTGGCGCAAATCAAGGTGGTCTAGGTGAAGACAGTTGTCAAGAATGGCGTTCAAGCCAAAGTCTGTTAGCCTGTTCCCACAAAGCTGGAGATGACGTAGTTTGGGCATGGTTTCAGCGATTGCTAGGGCATCATCATCGAACTCCAAGCGCGGGAGCTTCCAACCCTTGCGGTTTAGCTTCAATGTCTTCAGATTTGGGCAAGAAAGGCCAACAACTTTCAAATCCAAACCTTCAATATAGCAGTGTGAAAGCTCAAGATCTTCTAGCAATGGGAATTTCTTGACTGCATACAAAAATCCCGCATTCGTTATCTCTGAAAAGTAATAATCCATTGCAAGTCCAAAGGCTTGTCAGATTACTTGATCTGCAACAAGAATCTTCTTTTGTGTGTGAAGCTTAAACATAACCAAATAATCTATATTGTGTATAGATAGAGTTCCATAAGCTGATAATCTTCTTTTGCTAATAACCTACTACTTGTTTACATACAAAGAACCTTTTTAGCAGCTTTATCAACAGTAAATTCGAACTAAAACTCGATCACTATCGCGCAATATCCCAAACATAGAGAACAAGCATTGATTCAACAAAATGATATCTAACTTGCAAATCCCAAGTAAGACTAAATCCATATCTAACAATGAGAGATAACACAAATGCAATTCAGGAGTTTCCTATCATTCAAACTACTCAAAAAGATTTTTTGTTCTTCAATCCTGAATCCTGGCAAAAATTCTGACTAAACCCTAGAACTAGCATTAGTTTA